GACATTTGTATCAGAGCCAGTGTTTTCTGCTGCTCTCTGTGAGCGTGCGTGTGCGTGTGTGTGTTTTGGGTGGTTAACACCAGCTGTACTGGCTCACTCTGTCTCTCAGCAGGTTCACACTGAGGCTAATGCAGCGCTGGCTCTGACTGACCTCAGAGGTTATTGTTGTTGCCAAGCCAGGCTGTATGTGTGTGTGTGTGTGTCTAACAAGGCGCCCCCGCGGGGGTCCGTCGACTGCACTGACCCAGCTGCGGCAGTCTGGTTCTCCTTTGCACACAAGCACACATGCACAGCTGAGTTTTAGTCACTTAGTTGGATGTCGCAGTGGCTTTGCTCATCCCTGACATTAAACATAAGCACAGAACGGCTAGCCATGAACTTTGACCTAAGACTAAACTCACCACATTTAAAGCTGTCAGAAACAGAGAAGTTCTTATAAAAAAATTAAGCTAGTATGAGTTTTGGCCACTTGCAATCCAACTGTTCTCTTTACTTATTTTACTATTGGTAAATTAACAAAAAACAAAAAAAAAAAAAAAAAAACGACTGAAAAGTTTAATATAAAACAGATTCTTCTGGTCTAAAAGCCTAAAAAGCAATGTGTGTTAGCATCACCGTCCACGACTGCATCCACTGAAAAATCACACACATAAAACTGAATGCTGTCCAACTCAAATGCTTCAGGTCCTTCAGTGGAATTAGTCGAGAATCACTTGTCCACAATAATCTTTACAAATCCCAATGGATCATCTTGATTCTTGCGCCTCTTGTGACATCATCAACCCACATACACACATACAGTAGCTGGTTATTATTATTATTTTTTTCAGTATCTTTCTTTAAACATATTTCAATGGAAGACATCAACACCTGCTTTAAAAGTTTAGACTGTTTTCTACAATTTCTTTTTTTTTCACTTCGATTCCACACGTTTTCTCTGATACGAACAAATCCGAACATGCACAGATCTGTGTATGATGTGCCATAATGGAGAGCAGCTCCTTTGGCTGAGCCTCCCCAGGTTTTCCTGCTATTACATCTGAATGGGCCAGCATATGGCCTTTACAGCCCCACTGTTCCCTCCACAGGTCCCCACAGAGACTCGCCGAGAGAGAACATTTCAGTCATCACAGAGGTGTACGCGGGGCCACTTTTAAAAGTAGTTTTTCCTCATGCGTACGTGTGTGCGTAAGCATGCGAGCCCTTGTGTGATGTTATTTGTGTGTTTGCGGGAGAGAGGGGAAGAAGGAGGGGGACATGGAGAGCGTTAAATGAAGCAATTAATAAAATCATTTTCTACCCGGCTAAGGAGATAACAGCTTGGCACAGCACCACAAACCCATCAACACAAGCCCCCCTCACCTCCCCACCACTCATTTCGGCTTAAGGAAGACCCACACCGCTGCCCCTGATGGACCACTAACAGAGAGAGAGAGAGGAAGAGATAGAGAAGCACCAGTTTCTTCCCTTTCCCATTTAAAGCAGTGAACACTAGAGGGCAGTGTGTAGCTGCCGTCAAAAACTACAGCTCTCCCACACACACCGAAACACACACATACATGCAGACAGAGAGCACAAAGCAGCCTGCATCATTGAACACAACAAACAAAGCCAGGAGGAACAGCACCACACATACACACACACATGCACACGCACACACGCATACACACACGTACACTGAATGCACTCTCATTGTCATTCCTTGCTAACATTCCAGAGAGAGCAGTGGTGGTAGCTTTAGCTCTCCTGCTTTGCTCATGGAATATACCACAGGCAGGAATACGCCATCCCGCCGGTATAGGAGGAGGGAGTTTTATCCCCGAGGAGAGACATGCAATAGTGACAGACATTTAAACATGTTAGGATGACACCAAATGATTTATATAAGCACTACTCTCAGAGGTGTTAAGCTGTATTCACACCGAAGTTGACTAATTCATTGATTTTGCAGCTGGACAACAACAAACGCTGATAAACCAAGCAATTTACATTTACCCTTATATATATATATATTAAAAAAAAATCTAAATCTTTACACAAGAGGTTTCATGCAGATGGTTCTATGGACTGTTGAAGGCTGTGTTTGCTTTCAATATCAAATAAATGTGGCAATGCTGTCACACAAAAACTCTGCGTTCAGCCAAGCCAAACGGGTTTTGTGGCAGTAAAAATAAGATTCTACGCAGACGGTCATCCATTGTTTGCATTTCACACATGTAGGACTATCAACCTCCAAATGCAAGATACGAGGAGAAAATATCCAATGTTGTGGTTTGCGTTAATTCACCATTCACAAACTGCTGTACGTTATAAATTTCTTTTTAAAAATCAAAGTTAAAGTTAGAGCTCCAACATTAACTATTTGACGTCCATCAATCATTTCTTTTTAATGAGAGAAATTTCCAAAAAAAAAAAAAAAAGGTAACCGCTTATAGGTGACGTCATTTATCATTAAGCACACTTGCATCATGATGTAGGGGTAGCAATCTCGTCTCTGCCAGCTAATTTGCATCACTTTGATTTTCTGTGCTTGCATAAACGATATTTCAATGTAGCCAAATTCTCGATGAAGCCGCTTCATTCACAAACCTGCTTATGTTTTCAAGGGCCAGAATATTTAAAATCTGGATTGAAATACAGCTCATTAGGACCATTTTTTTTCTTTTTTTGGTTAATGAGCTTTATTTTTAGACAAACGGAACAGAGAGAGAGAGAGAGAGAGAGAGAGAGAGAGAGAGAGAGAGAGAGAGAGAGAGAGAATCGGAAGACATTTCGCTGGTAGATTGGACTCTTAAGAACACATGGATGTATGTAATATCAACAAACTGAAGATCTCAAGTATTAATTGATTTTAGATCTTGTATATCAGCTGAGAAAGTCTTCACTCCCTTAAAATTGTAATAATATCTCTGCCTTTATCTCAGCTACACTTTTACTAATATCTTATTATCAATAATACTATTATTAATGCCCTTATTTCCACAGTGCATGTTCAGAGGAGTCTACCTGGACAGGGTGCATACTGCAGATGAGTAGGACCTGCAGACGACGAGAATGTGCAGCTCCTCTCCGTGTTCAGTAGTTGAGATTTCTCCTAAGACTCCGTTAATTTGTTTAATATGTCCACAACCAGCTACACGAGTTCAATTTCCTGACTGTAAAACAGACCACAGAAAGCCTTATCCTCCCATCACACTCGAGCAAATCTTTCTTAAATTTCACTGGTCTTACAAAAATATATAGATTTAGTAAACTGTACTGCGTTCCTCCAACCTAACTTAGATATCGTAGCCCAGGCATCCCAGACTCCAGTCCTCAGGGGTCGATACTCTGCAACTTTTAGAGGCAACCCTGACCCAATACAATTCCTCAGCATGCAATCAACTTTTGTAGTGTTCTGCTAATGACCTAAATATTTTACCCAAGTGGATTGAAGCAAGATATTAATTTAAAAGTTGCAAGATGTGAGCCTCTTAGGACTGTACTTGAGACCCCTTGCTCTAGCAGGGGGTCTCAAGTAATTATTAATTTGGTCTCCAGGTAGTAGATTACTTTGGTTATTCCACTGATATGGAATTAATGCAAGTGCTACACAAATGTAGGACCAGGGATTCGCTTCATGCTTTGGTATGCAGACGCTCTGTCTGCACTGAAGAAGATTTACAAGTCCGGTATGAATTTCTGATTAATTCAGCTATTCATTTTTTGTCCAGTAGAGGGCACTCATAAGTTGCACAGCAAAGTGAAACTTTCTGCCTGAGATTGTTGGGTGAACAAATTTTATAAGATTATATACCAACGGGTATATAATGGGAAAATATTTTCTGGCATTTCTACAATCAACCATTGCCGACCAGCTTTTTCCATATTTTTAATAGTACTTTGATGATTTGTATTTGGTGATGAACTCCAGGTCTTTCAGCTTGGAAGGCCTCCATGCCATTACCCAATTCTTCAGCTCCTTTAAAGAGTCTCCTTCAGACGTTGGCTGGGCCCAGGCTTACTTTAAAATTAAATCTGCCACGGGTAGGAATAATGTCGGGCTTAGCTGTTTATCAACATAATAAAGCCTTTTTACAGATGGTAAAAACTCGATCCTCATTTTAATGACTGAAAACGGAAAATGAATGAAAGATTAGACCACCAAAGAAGCGCACAAAGTAACGGGCAATAAACACACACAGTTAACCGTTGCTTTTCCTTAACGTGGCTCGGCCCACTTAGTTATTAAAAATTGTAATAAAACAGTGATCTTCTTTCAGATCGCTCAGAGCACCTACAGTTTCAGAGGCTCGTGTGGCAGCGTGCATCGGGGGTGCGCTTGGAGAGATTTCCTACACCTGTCTCCAAACTGATAAACCCCAGTGCGTCGGACACAGTGTGCTGATAGAGATGACACAAGCACAGTGGGAGACAGAGGCTACAGTCAAAACACTGTTTAACTGCAGCGACTTATCAGCAGTTCTGAGCTGCCGCTGGAGAAGCAACAACAAACAGCGAATGAGGGAAACTTCTGATGGAGCACGGGTGTTTTTATTTTATTAGGACTGTCATCCAGAGAATCATTAGATATCATTTTTGTTGCTGTCTTCTCAAGGATAAGCGCCAATGATAAGAGTAAAAGGTGGAACCTCTTCTCGTTGGCTTTATTTCAGGCAAAAGTGAGGAGACACGCCAATGAATTCTTATCTTCATTTGTCTTTTTTTTTAAAGTTTGACTCCGAGTGCTCCTTCAGTCGAAGTACAAAAGAGGCATCTGAATTCAGTTTTAGAGAGCTGGTTATATTCCAATATACTGAAGTTTAGAAAATATCCAGGTTCTCAACAGAGAGTTCTCCAGCAGGGCTGCAACAATGGCTTGAAGCTAATATTTAGTATTTGTCTTTAATGGCTTGGGTCCTATTCTGCGGCTGCTGTGGTTTTAAATAGTTGATAGCTTTGCCCTGCTCTTGATCCTGCCACTGAATTTTACTGTTTCTTTTTTTGTTTTGCTTTGTTTAAGTATGTTGTGTTTTATGAAAATAACATTGACATGAATTTTATGGCCATTTTCTATCACTTATGCAATTTGCCTCAAAGATCTTTTGCTTTGCACTAGCTTGGTAACTTCACATTTTAAGTTCATTGTCAAAAGTACAGCATATGGTCATAACAAACTCTGTGTGGCAGAAAAGATAAACCACTTCAATAAGTTTCAAAGTAAACAATCTCACCTCCACTTTCCTGTTTATTCCTGTTCTTTAGCCCTTATTTCACACAGGATCATAGCCGGTAACAGAGTTAGGGTCAGCCATGCTAATTATCGCATCAGTCCAACAAATATTTGCAACATGCGCACATGGAGAGATCATACATGAGCAGCACAACTACAGATGCTGGCGAGTTTGCACACGACCCTGAGGCAGCTTGAGAAAAAAATAATAATTTCAAAGACAAGGAGGAATAGGGGGAGTGTGGAAATGTCATGGAGAAGGATGGCAGACATAGAGAGAGAGAGAGAGAGAGAGAGAGAGAGAGAGAGAGAGAGAGAGGAAAACTGACCCCGAGTTCAGCTAAGAAATGACTAAAGCAGCAGGAAATTCAGTTTACGGCATATAATCCATTCACAATTCTAGATCTACAGTCAAGCGGCTGTATCTGCAGAGTGGCTGAGGAGGAGCGATGGGAGTGCGAGGAAAACCTCCACAATATGTGGGAGGGAAGAATCTGCTTCCCCCTTCATTTGAATGAATGAATGTTGTGCTGCCTTTTGTTTAGTTTAGTTGGACCAGCAAGGTTTTTGACCTAGAGCACCCCCTGGTGGATATTTTTGTTATGTTGCCTTTGTGATGCTAAAAGAAAACATAGATCCAAGATGGTGGAACGCAGCACCAAACAGCTCGTGGAGTAGCTGACTATTGTCTTTATTCGTTGTGTTTCCGACAAGATTTGTTCGTAAGTGCTTGTTAATTGTGAAAATAATAATTGTGTCTTTGTTTCATGTAACGCTGGTGTAAGTAATTTGTATACTTTAGTCACTTAAGAAAATGTTGTTTTAAGCTCGCAGTAAGAATGGCTATTTTGCTATGTTAGCTAACATTACGCCTTGTATGTTGCAGTTTACGATGGCCAAAGTGATGGTAGTGGTTAGAGGCCACTCTTCAATAAACAACTAAAAAGAAAGAAAGAAGTTTGGTTAATGGAGCGTCGTTGTCTGGCTGTCTAGCGGCTGAAAAGATTGAAAACTCAGGGCGAGGACAGCACAAATGTGTTGCAGAAAACTCAGTAGGCTGCACTTTCAGATTGGTCCGCAGCCATTTGTCCGCTAGGGAATGAATGTTGGAGCAGAGAGCAAGGTGTAATGCTCAAGGAAAATGATGTAATGTGAACAAGACACTGATATACTGTGTGCTTTTAAGGATGTTTTCAAAGAACACTTTATCTTTGCCATTTACACTTCAATTTCTTGTTTTTTTTTTTTTTCCCCACCCTAGAATATGATAACCGAGCTAAGCAGATAGAGGGCGAGATTAGGAAGGTAAGTACTTATATCCATTCATCCTTTCATTCCCTCTCTCTTCTCCTTGTACCCTTCTGCCCACTCTCCCTGCCCGTCTATCTGTCTGTCTGCCATGCGCGCAGTGTCTATTTTTGGAAAGCAATGTCACTCACGCAACACCATAAGATAGCTTTCTCGGTGTCCTGCTCACAACTCATACATCATTAACATTCTCACACGCACACGCACGCACACACACGCATTTTGTGTTCAAAATGTGCTGCACACACACATTTTGCACACACACGCACAAGGCTGTGCAATGCAAAATGTGCTGCTGATCCACAAAAAGGAAAAAAAAAGCTTTTATTGTGTCACAAACATTAAACTAAGTAAGGGGAAATTTGTGCAACACGTTTAGGCCAAACACATAAAAAGAGGAACCGAGAAATCGACTGGTGACTGGGATCAACTGGTTTTCAGTTTGATGTGGCATGACTGGTGACTGGGCAGCTGAAAACTCAAATATCCAGTCTTCTTGTGACCAGCGAATACACCGTAATAAGTGATATCAGCTCTTGCTGACAGTAACACTCCTCTGAGTGGACGCAGTAGCAGAGGGGGAAAAAAAGACTCATAGTTAGCCAGTTTCACTATCAGTTGTTTAAAGTGAAGCTCGATGAAGCACAGAGATGCAAGCAGCCATATAGGAAGGAAAATTGTCAAGAACTGTTGTTCCGTTTAAGCAGAGAGAGAGAGAGAGCATGACTTTCAATGGATAACGGGAAGGCTGAACGAGCCTAGCCAGGTTTCTCTGTTTTTATCCAGTTCAGCTCGTCATGGAGCAGATTGGATTCAGAAACTTTGGCAGACTTTTGGAAATCTCACCCTTAGGGATCTACATTTTCTAAGAATACACTCACAGTGTGACGTTTTGGCTCTGCCAGCCATGTTAGCCGCATTACCTGCTAACATAAGATGCTTATGCCAGTTTAAAATGTAAACTTTATATATTCCAGTCTTTATTTTGAAATATTAAACTCTTTGACAGTGACTCACATAAATGCCTTCACTTTTAATATAAATAAATAATGACCACTCGGGTCAGAAGGCTAGGAGAACATACTTGTATCTTCTTTTATTCTAGTTCTTAAAGACAAATCGTCAGGGTGTCAAATCTTAAACAAAAGAGAAATCAGAAATCACAAAAGTCCAATAAGATCAAATGTTTTAAATGTGTATGGGAACCTTTTATTGTGTTTGAAAAAGCTAAATGAAATCCAAAAGTTTCTGACGTTTTTGTGAAAATTCTGGGATTTCACTGCGCTAAATTTATTTCCAACATGGCAGCTATATGGATACTAAAGGAAAAAGCTTAATACTTAACTACATTTTCCACAAAAGTAAGGAGAATCCTACCTCGTGCACATCTTTGCATTTTAGCTTCTGCATGCATAAAAGGAACTATTGTTGAGACGAGAGGTTTTTTCAGATTTTTCAGTCTTCTCCAAGTCGTTAAACAACAGCTGGCTGAATTTGCGTAGACAAAGATTTGTTTTAGTCCACTTATCAAAAGCATTTGCAAGAGAGTGGAAGAAGTGTGTCACCAAACCTGTCTTGTTATTACAAAGATTTCATGCAGATCAATTTATGTGCAAGTTTTGCTGCGACTGACCTCCTTTTCCTAAATGACATGGACACTATATGAAGCAATTCATTAAATCTTACCCCATGCTACCTTAATGGCCGAAAAGGAGAAAATGAGAAAAGGAATAAAACACAGATGAGGAATGACCTCGCCGGCTTCTGAAAGCTCTCATTTCGAAGAATAAGTGAAACAAACAAGAGCAGTAACAGCTTTATCTGCTCCTCCCAAATAAATAACTACAAGTTCATTCTGAAAATAGAAACTGTATTGAAGCAAACTCTACAGAGAAATAAAGCTCAGCGAGAAGACCTGGGGTTAACAGCTCGACAACCGAAGAACATACGGGACATATGCAGGACAGAGAAGGGAACACATCTGGACAGGGATTAGGGTGGCTAAAGAGGCTAAAAAAAGGAGGAGGAGACAGAAGGATGGGCTTAACTTAGGCTAAGTGAGGGAGAAGGGTGTGTTTGGGGTGTGTATGTGTTAGATGAACAGCAATGTTTGAACAGCGGGTAGAGAGGTGAGACCTCAGGACAGATTCTTACTTGAAAGAAGCCAGGGGGCATGGGTCCTCCTGGCATGCCATCATTGGGTGGCATGTTGCCCATCACTGGACTGGGAGCAGCGGCCGCACTCTGAAAAGACACAAAAGAAAATACTTTCTTTTTTTCTTCTTCTTCTCAGTATTCTTGTTAAATAGAGCAACACAAAGTGGCTGAAGGAAGGTGTTAAAATATTCTTGGATTTGCCTAAAATAATTGAAAGTGAGAAAAAGTCCAACTGTGCTGGCACGCTAAAACAAACAAAGTTCCAAATCGGGTGACAAGTGATCTGAAATATTATTAGTTGGTGCTCTGAAAAAACATTATATCGCAAAGGCCGCAAGACAAGTACCGTTCAATCTGTCTTTTAAAAACTGAGTAAGTTACTCAGCTCTGGTTGCATCCATAAACATGCAACCAGAGCTACAATAAAATGCTTCAGATAAAACATATTAGATTCCAGTTCTGAATCAAACAAAGAATTTGAAGTCAGACTTGAAGGTTCACTCAATCCAATCTGAGGACTTATCCCAAGTTTCTCTAGATGAAGCCGGTAGAGACTTACCCCAAAAGACTACAACATTTGATGTAGGACATACAGCTGCATGCAACACTTTTCATATTTAAGTGAATCAAAAATTGCAAATCTATACATTGTTTCATTCATTTTCCCAATGAATTGGTCTATCATCTAAAGTCCCAGTAGAATGCGTCATGTGGCGTCATTTTCTGGCACCATTTCCTTCATCTTCCCTGACAATTCCAACGATTTTGAGCAGGGATATAAACAGACAGTCGTGACACTAGACGCTCTGATTTCCTTTTGAGATGGTAAAACTGACCTTTGGTATTCAGTCCTGTCATAGCTTGATGTTCACATTTTGTTGGGGTCAAAAAGAAACAAAAAGTTTCCCCGAGAGACAAATTTAGGGCAAACTATGTCGATTGTTTTCATTACTCTCCATACAAACTTTACATTTTTCTGGAAGATCCTGACGTTGCCCTCAGAAGGCTGGAAAGATGGATGGCCACAAAATACGCTTCTGTCAGTCAGAGTCGGTTACTCTAGCACAGATCACAAAGGTTTAGTTGCCTAAGCGTAACCTTTAACACGAGGAAAATTCTCACATGAATCATGTTTACAATGGTGTCACCATTCCTATTTTATCAGTCATGGATTTGTTTCCACAAAATGCAAACAGAACCCCACCACCACCACCACCACCAACAACGCCCCTCAGCGAGATTTCTACACACTCCCACTGCAACAATCCCAGAGTGCCCCGGCTGACCTGCACGGCACAGGCGCTAAGTAAGAGGGCCCCAAGGCCATGAGCCCAGACACAAACAACCCTGGTGAGGGGGGTGGGATTCTGTGGGACTCTGGATGAAATGTTAAAGTCAGTATGGAAAAAAAAAAAGAATAAAGCAGACATGTATCAGAGGAACAAGAGGACGTAGAAAAAAAAAAGGGATTTCTCTGGAAAGGTGACAAGAGGTTGCAGAGTGTTCAATAGCCCAACAAAAGATGCCACTGTATTACTCTCAGGTCGAGGTTTTGACTCCTTCAGCTCCTTCTGAACTCAGCAGTGGAGAAACACGAAGAGGTGGAGGTCAAGAGTAACTACTAGAGTAAAAAGTGAAAGGGAACAGGAATTAACTCTGCTTTTTCAAAAGCAGATTAATAATAATAATAATAATAATAATAATAATAATAAAAAAACCTGAAAGTCTGATGAACTCATATGAGGAGTTTCAACAATTTCTGGAATTTCTTGTCTTATGAATGAAACAGCAGTGAGCATTTACAATGTCAAATGCATAATCACTCTGTTCCTAATAACAAAGATCCAAACGAGATGCTGTGTTACTTTGCAGCAGAGTTTAGGTGTGTGTTATTAGCAGTGCTACCAGACAAGATCTAGGTTGGATCATTGAAAGCTCTGACCATAATTATTTAAGGATAACCATGTTTTTTTTTTCAAGCCATGTCTTTTTCAGCAGTTGTTGCTTATCTATAGTACTTAATTAACTATGACTAATTGATTTTTTTCATCTCTTTTTTAATTCTTCATCTACTTCTTGTTTTATTATTTGCTTTAATTGATTGATCAAACAACCTACGGCAGCTGAAGTTCTTTTGGACTCCATTGCTCTCTTTGAATGGACATATACATAGTTTCAAATCAAATGCATATTTTTGGACAGCCAGATGTCCACCTCCTGAGAATCCTGCAAAAAGTGAAACTCTCCAAGCAAAAAAAAAAAAGTGCTGGACACAGACAGGATTTTCTTTCTTCTTTACAATCATTTGTCCGGTTAAATACAATTATGAAGGAAATATGTAGTTAAAACACCTCAAAAATATCAAAAAGGAACATTTAAATCGGGAATGCATT